CTTCCTCCTCAAATATAATACATTTTTAAAAATTTGTTGATTTTTTTTTGTGTGTGTATATCACATAGAACATCCCAAACCATCTGTTTGACTATATACCCACTTCCCAGCTGGCACCCTCCCAATAGCCTCCCTCCCCCGACTAGAGCCCTTATACTCTGATATCCCTGCTACTGTCTGCTGTGTTGTCGGCACCCCCAGCCATTCCCCACTACCTGCCATTCTGGTGAATCTAGTCAGCCTATCTAGAGGTCTTTGTTTTAGGAAGGTCAGCTGTTCCTCATCTAGCAGCAATCAGTTGTCAGTATTCCTTTGGATAAGATTGGGGTCTGCTGTTCATTTTCCCAGCTCTATGCTGGGTTACTATCTGGGTTTTTATCTAAAAAAAAAAAAAAAAAAGAAAAACTTTTACATCATTTTTCTTTCTCATCATTTTTCTTTTTTCAGACAGTCTCGCTATATATTCCTGGCTGGCCAGTTCCTTAACACAACTGTTTCTGTGGATGCTTGCTTTTGTTAATTGGAACTTTTAATTTATTGACAGTTTCATGCATGTGTATAATGTATTTTGATCATATCCCCCATTACTCTCTTACCCTCTCCCCTCGTCTGGACCCCTTCTTCCCAACATACCTTCCTTCTACTTTCATATCCCCCTATAACCCACTGAGTCTCCCCCAGCTGCCATTAATGGCTCTTCAGCTAGGGGTCGGGCCCCAAGTGCCTCTCCCCCATCTTTGCGAGAATGTTGGTGGGCTTCATTGTCCACTGGTTCTTACATTCTTTCCTCCCCCCTTCAGCAATGTTCCTTTGGCTTTTGAGGGAGTGATAGAGCTGTCCCATTTAGAGCTGAGCACTCAACATTCTCAGCACCCTGAGTAGTTATGAGTCTCTGCTTTAACCACTGCCCATTGCAGAAAGTTTCTCTAACCAAGCTTGAAAATTAATTACTAATTGTGTATGCTAGGCTCCAAGGACTTCTTAATTAGGACCTTTTTAAAAAAAAAGATTTATTTTTAATTTTTGCATATGAAGGTTTGTCTACATGTATGTATGTGTACCATGTGCATGCCTGATGCCTGTGCATGCCGGAAGAGGGTGTCAGCTCCCCTGGAACTAGAGTTACTTGAACTGTCATGTGGGTGCTGGGAACTGAACATAGATCTTCTGCAAGAGCAATAAATGCTCTTAACCACTAAGCTGTCTTTTCAGCCTGTTTGGGGGCGGGGGAGCATGCCATACCATGCATATAAAAGGAGTCAGTTCTCTTCCATTGTGGGTTCTGGGGATCAAACCCAGATGGTGCCTCCACAGCAAGTACTTTTACTTGCTGAACCACCTGGCCAGCCTAGGCCACCCTATTCTCTAAGCATTTAAGTCAGTTGAAGGTCATGTAAGAACCAAGATTATGTTGTTCGTTTTCACCTTCCTGAGTCCCACAAGTCATGTCATTGCTGTCACTGTGATCACTGGGCCTCTTTTTCCCTATGACTCAGCATATAGAAATGTTTCTGAGCTTATTCAAAGGCTTCTGGATCGCATATGACCTTATAAACCATTTCCAGTCTTATAATTTCATGAGACCAGTCCATCTGATAACAGTCTTCTCATGTGCTATAACTTGACATCTAAGCAATGTGTTGTTGTTGTTTGTTTTGTTTTGTTTTTTCACAGTTAACTCCAAGCAACAAAGTTACTTGAGTCTTGATCTCAGAGTTTAAGGCAAGCTTTTAATGTGTGATTTTGAACTACTGGACATGTGACTGTTTTTTCTTACGCAGGTGTTCACGTAAACATAACTTCCCCATGTCGAGTCCCACCCTTCTTCTTAAGAGCATGTTTACAACGTTTGGAATGGAGCAGTGTAGGAGAGATGACTATGATCCCGATGCAAGCCTGGAGTACAGTGAGGAGGAGACCTACCAGCAATTCTTAGACTTCTATCACGATGTGCTGCCGGAGTTCAAGAATGTGGGCAGAGTGATTCAGTTTAAGGTACGTATGGGTATGAGAAGCTGGTATACCTTCCTCTGAAATACAGCATACAGAAGTAGAGCTGGGGCACAGGCTGTTCACCTGGGTGGAGCCATGTGCCAGTGTATGTCCAGCCTGGGGTTAGGCATGTGGGCATTTGGTTAAGTGTCACTTTATTCTTTCTCCCTTTCGACCCCCACTCTGGCCAATGCCATGTAGGTACCACAGGGATTCATAAGATATATTAGCATGTTTTCTGAATGCTAGGGTCTGTGTTGGAAAGGAGCCTTCATTTGTTCAGAGCCTTTGCACTGCAGCTCTGTGCGGCATCTGAATTTGTTGTCAGGCCTGCTGCACCTAGCCATCTAAGCCTTGACTTAGATTTTGTCTGGAATGGACTGTGCTGCTTCTGACCCTCTTTCAGCACCTCCCACAGAACTCGATTTTATACATTGTGATTCAGGTGCACTCACTGAGCATGTTGATTCTTTGTGTTGGCAGTGAGTGGCTACCCACAGCTTCTCAAGGCACATATTTTTGGTGTTATATAGAATCAGATCTTGATATGTTACTGAACAGAGTGTCTCCCAAACAATAGTTTTTAGTTCAGTGCACCAGTTAGAAAAGATATTCAGATGACATGTAATTCTTTTAAAATACTCTTTAAGGCAAGATATGGTCCCTTCTGCTCCTGGGACTGACCAGTTGAATCCCAGCACAGAGGCTTTGTCTATGATTTGAATAGATCTGAACCTGTATGACTTTGTTAAGACAAGGGAAATGTCCTTTAATTTGGAGAAAAATAGGAATAAACCTGCCAGTTTCTTCTTGCTATTAGAATGAAAGAATAGAAGTAGGAAAAGCCAAGAATCATAGATATTCATGAAATGTGAAGCTATACTGATTTCAATATTTTAAAAATATTTTATTTATTATTTTTATTTTATGTGTATGAGTGTTTTACCTGCATGTATGTAAGTGTACCACATGTATGCAGAGTTACAGACAGTTGTTAGCTACCATGTGGGTGCTGAGACTTGAAACGGGGTCCTCTGAAAGAGTGGCAAGTGCATTTAACTGCTGAGCCATCTTGCTAGCTCCTAATTTCAAAATTTTTAAAAAAGATTTATTTATGGGGCTGGAGAGATGGCTCAGCGATTCAAAACACTGGCTGTTCTTGCAGAAGACCTGGGTTCAAATCCCAGCACCCACATGGCAGTTAACAACTGTCCATAACTCCAGTTCCAGGGCATCCAACGCCCTCTTGTGTCCTCTGTGGGCATTGCATGGCACAGGTGCACTTACATACATGCAGGCAATAGGTAAGGATGCAGTGCCTGAGGAGGCCAGAAGAGGGTTTTGGATACCCTGGAATTGGAATTACAGGAGGTTGTAAGCTGTCATATGGATGCTGGGAACTGAACCCAAGTACTTTCAACTTTCTAGCCCCTGGTTTCAAGATTTTTAAAAAACATTTTATTTATTATTTTTATTTTATGTGTATGAGTATTATGCCTGCATGTAGGTAAGTGCACCCGTGCTGTGCAATGCCCACGGAGGACAGAAGAGGGTGTTGGATGCCCTGGAACTGGAGTTATGGACAGTTGTTAGCTGCCATGTGGTTGCTGGGATTCGAACCTGGGTCTTCTGCAAAAGTAGTCAGTGTTCTTAACCTCTGAGCCATCTCTCCAGCCCTGGTTTCAAGATTTTTAAAAATTGTTTAAAACTTTTTTTTTCCTCTTGGGCTGGCAAGATGTCTTAGCAGGTAAAGATGCTTGCCACCAAGACTGATACCTAAGTTCGACTCACAGGACCCATATGGTGGAGCGAACTGACTTCCATAAGTTGGCATCTGACCTCCACATGCATACCATGGCATGAGTACACATGCACAAACACACACACACACGCACACACGTATATACATACACACACTAATAGATGACAGATAGATAGATAGATAGATAGATAGATAGATAGATAGATAGATATAAAAAGTAAGAAACATCCTAGTTCCATCCATTTAGATTCCGTCCTTTTTTTGTTGTTGTTGTTTTGGTCTTTTTTGAGACAGGGTCCCTGTAGACTCAGCTGGCCTGGAACTCACTAGGTAGACCAGGCTGGACTTGAACTCCAGAGATCCACCTGCCTCTGCCTCCCAAGTGCTGGGATTAAAGGCATGTGCCACCACGTCTGGATGATTCCAACTTTCTTTACCTCTGCATCGAACTCTATTGTTTTCCTCTTACCTTTGTATTTCAGTGGCATGTGCCTTCCTGTCTTTTCACTTCTCAGCATAAACAATAACTGCTAGAGTGGACGTGTCTGGTCATGTGTGAATTATACCACGCTGAAGCCAGCACCAGCCAAGGTGGCAGTGTGGTCTGACTAGTCCTGTGCTCTTAAAATGTCACTTTACCTGTAAGTGCTTCTTCCTTATCTCAGCGGTGAGAGAGATTGGCTTACACAGTGGTTTCTCTCATGCGGCCTCTGCATCCTACTGCTTCTGTGAAGTGGTAACAGTGAAATTGTTTTCAGAACTTCAGAGTGTTGGCTGAAGATATGCAGCTCGGTCTGAGTGCTTGCATAGCACATGCAAAGCTCTGGGTTCCATCTGCAGCCCAGCAAGTGACAGGAAGATGGGTTGGTGGAAGTTGCACTGTTACCTGTGGGTACCCACTGACCACAACTTTTTTTCTTTCTCTCTTTTTTTTTTTAAGAAAGTAAATAGTATGACAGAGTTCATGCAGATCACATTGCCAGGTACAAATAAAGAGCCATTTAGTAAATTTGTGGGAGAAAAATTATCAGGATATCGAATTCATTATGAAAAATGAATAGCTCTTTGGGAACTATGGGATTAAATACTACTACTACTACTACTACTACTACTACTACTACTACTGTTACTACTAATTATTGTTATTATGTCATGGTACTAGAAATTGAACTGAGAGCCTTGCACATAGTAAGCAAAAGTGCCATACCACTGAGCTATAACCACAAACCTCTTTGTTACTTTTTATTTTGAGGCAGGGTCACACTATGCAGCCTTCCTGCCTCAGTCTGTCTATTGCTTGGATTATAGGTATGTGCCACCATGCCTGGCTGGATTAAATGGATTTGAAGTTCTCTAGACATGGTTGACATGGATTCCTAAGGCCTTTTATTCTTCCTTCTTAAGGTGTTGCAAACTGAGTATGGATCCTGTCTCCTTTGGGGATGCTTTAATAACAATACTCTGAAGCCAAAAATTGTAGATTTATTTTAAAGATAAAAGCTAAACACTTATAGAAATATTTAAGGACCTTTTATATACCATTATGTACAAACAAATGAAACTTCTCATTTAAAAACATTTTATTATTTTTATTTTAGTGTATGACTGTATTGCCTGCATGTGTGTAAGTGCACCTGTGTTGTGCAATGCCCACAGAGGTCAGAAGAAGGTGATGGACTGCCCTGGAACTGGAGTTACAGACAATTGTCAGCCACCATGTGGTTGCTGGGAATCGAACCTGGATCCTCTGCAAGAGCAGTCAGTGCTCTTAATCACTGAGCCATCTCTCCAGGCCCTGAAATGTGTCATTTTTGAAGGCGAATGTTTAACATTATAGTAGGAACAATGTAAATGAAAATGAGATATTATTCACACCTACATGGTAAAAAGTTTAAAACTATATTAATCTCAAGATTGGGTGAAGGATATACACTAGTAAAACTACTTCAGAGAAAAACTTGTGCACTACCTAGTGAAGCAGAAAATTATAAATCAGCATACTCCTTCTGGTCATGCATGTTAGCGAGGTCCTTATACCCACAGAGACATGTTTGTGGATGAGAGATTGGAAGTACATTGAACAGTCATTATTTGATGAGTAGATACACAAATTTAATAATTTAATATATCTAGTATACAGTAGTTGAGTCATTAAGTTTATATTATACCTTGAAAAAGAATATAGAATACTGTCTGTATAAAAATTTAAAATGTAGGTGGCTGAAGAGGTGGCTGAAGAGATGGTTAAAAGCATGTGTCTCCTGTTCCCAAAGGACTCAAATTCATTCCTAGCACCCACATCAGGTGGCTCACAACCTCCTGTAACTCCAGTTCCAGGGGATCTCTGATACCTCTGGCCTCCAGTTACACCCACACCTGCATGCACAAATCCACACACAGACAGATACACAATGAAAAATTAAAAATTAAATTTTAGGGGCTGGAGAGATGGATCAGTGGTTAAGAATACTGGTTGTTCTTGTAGAAGACCCAGGTTCGAATCCCAACACTCACATGGCAGCTAACAACTGTTCTTAACTCCAGCCCTAGGGGATCCGACAGCCTCTTCTGACCTCCGCGGGCACTGCACAACACGGGTGCACTTACCTACATGCAGTGTGGAAAGCAGTACCAGCAAGTGTGCCCAATCTTTTGACCTTGTGCATAACGTCATCTACAAAGTTGAAGTTTGAGAACTGTGTAATTACAAAAAAAATAAAATAAAATTTCAGTGTCATAAGTTCAATCCCTGAGAGCAACGTGGTGGAAGGAGAGGACATGTACATGGTGTGTGTGTGTGCATGTTTCTGTTTGGAACTTGAAGCTATAACTTGAAGGGTCTGGACAGTGATCACCCAAGTTATAGAGGAGGAATAAGAATAGGATGGGGAGACCTCTGCTGGACCCTTGGTGTTTTATTCATTTAAATATTTTCAAAAATAGTGATATTATTGTTAATTCTGAGCAGTGTTTCTATGGGTTGATTTGTATTCTCTTTTTAAACATTTTTACGATTTATTTTTATTTCATGTGTATGAGTGTTTTGCCTGCATGTATGTATATATACTTGTATATACCATGTGTGTGCCTGTTGCATGAGGAATTCAGAAAAAGATGTCAGATTCCCCAGAGCTGGAGTTAGAGGTGATTGTTAGCTGCCATGTGAATGCTAGGAACTGAACCCGGGTCCTCTGCAAGAGTACCCAGTACTCTTAACTGCCGAGCCATCTCTCCAACCCCTATATTCTCTTTATATATGATGTACGAAACATTTCATATTTGTGGGGGTAAAACAAAAGCAGACAAGGATCAACAGGGATCAGACACATGAGGTATGCAATGCTATTAAGTGCTGAAATGTGCTTTAAATCAATGAAAGTGTGTTACTATCTCTATCTTGGAATCTTTGATCATTAACTCCTTTGGGGACTATTAACCTGGACAAGATCCATTTGATGACTGATTTCTTTAAAACAATTTTTCGTGTTTGCATTCTTCCTTGTTCCTTAGGTCAGCTGCAACTTGGAACCTCATCTGAGGGGCAATGTGTATGTTCAATACCAATCGTAAGTATTATGAACATACATTTCTTCTATTTTATCATAGCTATGGTTTTTTGTTTCTTTGATGCCTGTGACTTTCCCACTGAATATGTAAATTTCATATACATGGTATTTTTCAAAATGTAAATATGAAAAACTGATAAACAGACAAGATTCAAAAATAATCCTTTTTATTTTGTTCTTTGTATACTTATATAGTTTTGATTCTTTTACAATATGGTTATATTATTATATAATTGTGATAATTAAAATATAAACTGGAAAGGGATAACTAGAATATAAAATATAAATGTAAAGAGCCAGAGGTTGAAGCCCCAAATAGTCTTACGGTGCATTTGACCAGCTAGGAAAGTCGTTCCTGTATTATTTCTGCTTGTATTTCCATTCACCTAGTCAGCACCATGACTAATAGGTTCAATTAGCCATTGTAGTAAGAATAATGGCGGTCCTAGCTGAGAAAACATTGGTTCTAACAAGGGGAAACACTTCTGCAGTCTTAATGCTCCAATCTTGTAGATTAAGAAGCTTTGACTGCAGCCAATTTCCATGCGTCAAAACCTCTCAGAGGGCTAGTAGAAAAGGTTCCTAAATAAACTGTGGGCTGCAGGAGCCTGACTGCTCCAATGAGAACTTCCCAGGCTGTACAAAAACTATGAAATTGGTGGTTCTAAAATAAATGAATAAAAAGTTAATTGACAATAGGTTTACTCTTCTATTAGAGTTACTATAAAGCCCATCCTTTGTTTTTTGGTTCAAAGGGAGGAAGAATGCCAAGCAGCCTTTTCTGTTTTTAATGGGCGATGGTATGCGGGACGACAGCTTCAGTGTGAATTCTGCCCAGTGACCCGGTGGAAAATGGCAATTTGTGGTAAAAGACAACTCCCCCCCCCGTCCCCCGCATTGTCACATTATACAAAGGAGTATTCTTGGGGAGAAAACAGTATTTTAAAGGGATGAAGCAGTTTTTGTCTCACTGTAGCAGTTGTCACATAAAGGATACCATAGTTTAGCTCTGTAACAGACCTGTGGGTCACTATAGATGAGGGAACTGAGGACACAACATATCGGTGACAGAATTGGGGCTTCAATTTCAGTCTTCCAATCCTCAGTCCCGGCCTCTATGTGTGACAATTCAGTGTCTAAAGATACCTGCATTATCCATTTTGCTGTTTCAAAGCTGTTTTCTATTTATTGGCCTACCTTACTTGAGCTGATTGTTTCTGTCTTGATCCCTAAGGAATCTTCCATCATGACCACGACAAACAAGACCTGTGACTAACCTTCCACACTTTACTTGATGTCCCGCTCTTGAGGATTGTGCGTTAGATGCTTTCATTTAGACTGACTCATTAGACAGGGGCAGCTAGATGAGGAAGTGATTCAGCACTGTGCAGAGAACAATCAGCTGCTTTGAAGGCCTAGTCATTTTTTTGGTTTCTGGAAGTGGGTTTAGTTAAGCCAGTGAGGAAGTTCTCCAGGTAGAAACACTAATATCTAGGCTGTGCTCAGCCTGCTTTTTACATGCGTTTCTCTATTCTAGTTCTCAGCCGCTCTGAACGTCTCAGTATAATGTATAAAATCTTCATCTTTAGCAGCCTTGTCTTAATGGATACTGCCATTTATGGTGGGCGTGCTAGTGTTTACCTATAGTCCCAAGACTCAAAAGGCCAAGACAGGATAATTGTGAGTTCAGGGCCACCTTAGAGTACATGACACCCTGCCAAGAAAGAAAGAAAAGGTGGAAAGAGGGAGGGGAGGAGACGAAGGAGGGAGGGAGGGAGTAAAGAAAGAAGGAGGGAGGGAGGAAGGGAGTGAAGAAAAGAGGGAGGAAGGAAAAAGATTTATAAACATAGTATCTTCAAATTCCTTGCTCAGGAAAACTAGATCCATTACACCATAAGTTTAGGGGTTTGAACAATGAAAATGGAAATGTGTTCTCTATAAGGCAGTTAATTTTAATAGTTCTTACAATTTGCAGTGTGATTTCAGCGATGTCCCTCTCAGTATGGCTTTCACACCTCCAAACCAGGAATCTATTTCATTTAAAAAAGAAAACTGCCTTAGTGTCTTCCTCAGTGAATGATGTTGAACTTTGTATGTCCTTATTATTGACTATTTGTGTATCTTCTTCAGAGAGACATCTATGTAAATAGTTGGCCCATTTTTAGTCAGGCAACATCATTTTATTGTTCAGCTATAGGAAGGAGTCCTTGAAATCTTCTATTAGTCAAGTGCCTGATCAGAACAGTGACCTGCAAATACTTTCTGCCATTCTGTGGGTTGTCCTTTTTACTTTATTTACTTTGAAGCACAAGTTTTTTTCTTAAAAGTTTTCTTCCTTCCCCATCTTTTTTTCTTTTCTTTTTTAGTTATTATTTTTTTGAGATGGGGGAGTCTTGGTAGGTAGCCCTGGCTGGCCGAGAACTCACAGAGATCTGCCTGCCTCTGCCTCCAGAGTCTGAGATTAAAGGTGTATGCCACCACACCGGGATTCTTTTTTAAATATTTTCTTTATTATTTTTATGTGTATGAGTGTATTGCCTGCATGTACATAAGTGCACCCATGTCGTGCAATGCCTGTGGAGGTCAGAAGGCATCAGATCCCCTGGAACTGGAATTAAGGACAGTCGATAGCGCCATTTGGGTGCTAGGAACTGAACCCAGGTCCTCTGCAAGAGTAGTCAGTACTCTTAACTGCTGAGCCATCTCTCCAGCCCCCTATTTTTATTCTTTAGAGACAGAATCTCATTCATCCCAGGCTGGCCTTACACTCACTACACAGCTGAGAATAATCTTGAGTTCCTGATCCTCTTGCCTCTACTACCTCCCAAGCACTTGGATTATAAGCGTGTGCCACCATGCCCAGCTTGAAACACAAGTTTTGTTTTTATGTTTTATGGAACGCAGTGATATAAAGGGGTAAAGGGGTATTACTTCAAAAATTTTGTTTTGCTTTGGCTTTTTGGTTTGTGCTTTTGGTATTCTATCCAAGATCCCATTGCTTAACTCATGGTCCCAAAGATTTATTGTGTGTTTTCTACAGTTATGGTTTCATCTCTTTCATTTAGGTCTCTGATGCAGTTTGAATTAATTTATATATTAAATATCTATCATTTGACTTTTGACTAGTGTACATACTTTTGGTAATGTACTGATTTAACACGTTTGATCATTCCAAAAGGATCTTTGAGTACTTCACATGGGTTTTAGCTGGAAAGACTCTTTCATAGGAAAAGGACTTGGTAAATTATTTTTCAAATTTTATTATTTTTATTTTATGTGTATGAGTGTATTGCTTGCATGTGTTGTGCAATGCCCAAGGAGGTCCGAAGTTGAAAGTGTTGGGTTTTCCTGAAACTGGAGTTACAGATGGTTGTTAGCTACCATGTGGATGCTGGGACTCAAACCCCGGTCCTCTTCAAGAGCAGCCAGTGCTCTTACCCTCTGAGCCATCTCTCCAGCCTGTATTTGGTAAATTTAATGCATAAGGCGATGTTTTTTATGTTATACTTTTCCTTGAAACAGGGTCTCCCTAGATATCCTGGACTGACCATAAACACACCCAGGCTGGATTTGAACTTGTAACAATCCTTCCGCCTCAGCCTCCCAAGTGATTGGGATTACAGGTGTGAGCCACTACACCTGGCTATTAGATTATTCTTCTTGTAAAAGAAGATTAGAGGATCCTGTACCTTCAAGAGGGCCTTCGTTTGACTGGTGTATGCTCACAGAAAAATGCTACTACAAGAACCCCAAAGCCCAGTTCTTCACCATGTGGCAGTTGCAGTCTGATGACACAGTAGCACAAAGATATTCTGGCTGATAAAACTTCTGGTGCTTGCTTCAGCAACATATATATTATAATTGGAACGATATAGAGAAAATTAGCGTGGCTCCAAGGATAGCATGCAAATTCGTTAAATACTCATTTAAAAAAAAAACACAAAAGCAAAAAATACAGCCAGATGTAGAAGCACATGGTTTTAATCCCAGCACTCAGGAGACAGAGGCAGCCTGGTCTATTAGTGAGTTCCAGTCTAGTTATGGTTACAGGGAGACCCTGTCTCAGAAAAGACCAAAAATCGAAAGCAAACAAAATCATTTCTGGTTTGTGACCTCAGTGTCTTTTGTTACAGCACTTGAGTGTTTCTGTAATTGGGGGAAACAAACCATGACATTAATTTATATGAGCCCTTTTCACATAATACACTGTAAGAAGTAGTTCAAACACACAGAAACTTCAGAACTTAATCTGATTTTAGAAGAAAATCAAGCCAGGAGTGGTGGCACACGCCTTTAATCCCAGCACTCCAGAGGCAGAGACAGGTGGATCTCTGTGAGCTGGAGGCCAGCCTGCTTTACATAGAGATTTCCAGGCCAGCTGTGACTACAGGGAGACCCTGTCTCATAAACAGAAATCAAAAAAAAGATCAAATGTCCTCTTCATAACACACAGTAATAGTTGCTGTTTCTTCACTGCATCCTCAACAGGTCTATATGAATTACAGCAGTGCCCAAGAGGAAAACACTGCAACTTCCTTCATGTGTTCAGAAATCCCAACAATGAATTCAGGGAAGCTAATAGAGACATTTACCTGTCTCCAGATTGGACTGGGTCCTCCTTTGGTAAGAACTCTGAGAGGAGAGAGAGGACAAGCCACCATGATGAATACTATAGCAGGTCGAGAAAAAGGAGAAGCCCTAGCCCAGACGTCTCCTACAAGAGAAATGGGGAGTCTGAAAGGAAGGGTAATAGGAATCACAGGGGGAAAAAATCTCACAAACACCCGACAAGGAGTCGAAAGAGGCACAGCTCACCAAGTAGGGGGAAGAAAAGGGACTACAGCCTGGGCTCCGGAAGTCAGAGCCGAAGGAGACGACGGAGCCGGAGCCGGAGCCGGAGCCGGAGCTCATCCAGGTCCTGGAGTCGTGGCGCGAGGAGATCAGATAGCAGAGACAGAACCATCTAGAGTCCCAAATCCAAATATACTTGCTTTGTTCTTAAATGTCTGTCTGTCTTTTTATAGCGCCTATATACCTGGATAGGTAATTTACATGTCTAGCCAAATCCTGAAATCTTTTTTAAAATTTTTATTATTTTTATTTTAAGTAAGTGCACCTGTGTCATGCAATGCCCTCGGAGGTCAGAAGAGGCTGTCAGATCCTGTGGGACTGGAGCTATGGACAGTTGTTAGCTGCCATGTGGGTGCTGGGATTCAAACCCCAGTCTTCTGCAATAACAACCAGTGTTCTTAATGCTGAGCCAGCTCTCCAGCCCCTATAATTGAATTTTTCACTTTGTGCTATTAATCCTTTGCTAAAAACTTTCTTAGAACTCCTTAACTGTTGAAGAATCCTTTGCTAAAAACAACTTTCTTAGATTTCCTTAACTATTTCCACACATTTCTGATCATTTCCTTCAGATAAATGATGTGACTTCAGGAAGACAATCCAAGTTGCCTTCTAGAAAGACTGCTAAAAATTCACTCTGACAATAAGCTTTCCCACAGCACTGTTACTCTATTCTTTGAAGGTGTTTTAGGTATTTAAGTGTTTGTTTTTAATACCACTTTCCCCCCCAATTTAATGGCCTTTTTGTCCTTTTAAAATGTTCTCTAAAACTTGGATTTTTTGCTTTAAAATTGTCTATTTTAAAGTATTGAATCCATTTCCATGTCCCTCCTCCATATTTAGTCCCTCTTCAGCTGGTGGCCATCAGGATGAGTATCTTTTGAGTAGTGTGTGGAAAGTTCTTTATATAGAGGCTAAAGCACAATTTTGGTATAAAAATCCCAGAAGAGTCATCAGAGAACCTCATGTAGACAAAGTTCATGGATACTCTCCCCAGGTTTCCTAAGATGCCCTCATCTCATAGGTTTTTTTCATTGACATACTTTGGGTATCTTGAGTTTCACTGTTATGTGGCATTTAGCAATCTGACATTTGAGAATAAAGAAAAGATGCATGTATGTTGTGTATGGTGGCTATGCCTGTAATCCAGCACTCAGGAGGCTGAGGCTGGCTGGGACTAGAGTGAAACTGTGCCTCATTAACAACAACAAAAGTAAGAAAGAAAAGAAAAAAGGCACAAAATGTCAAAAAGTTAACAAAATTGAAGTAGGAGGCAAAGGTTCTCAAAGATTGGGACTTCTACATGACCTCCATTAAGGGTAAGAATTCTTTAATCTGTAAAATGTGGCTGAGAATTTTAAATCCAATGTTTCCAAATCTAAATGCCTGCTTCAGACTAAATATGACCAAAGATTTCTAGATACACTGGATTCGTTAATAGTTTTCAGTAAGCCCAGTATTTTTCAATATATTTCAAATTGCAGCCAAGATTACACAAATGTGTATTATTTTTTTGTGATGCTGGGGCTCCACACATGCTAGAGACATCTACACACATACTATTGAGACACATCACATCTTAAAGCTGACTATTCTTAGATCATGTTGAGAAAGAAAGCAAATCCATCTTCTTGAGCTGAAGATACTGAATGGGAGATAAATGGACCAGTACAGGGACAGCAGGAGAGGGTTTATAAAGCCTGACTGGGTTATCACCCTGATAAATACTGACTTTGAGCTTACATTTATTTGGACATAAACCTGATTACTATTTATGATTCAAAAATTCCAACTCCAGGGGCTGGAGAGATGGTTCAGCAGTTAAGAGCACTGGCTGCTCTTGCAGAAGACCTGGGTTTGATTCCCAGCACCCACATGGCTGCTAACAATCATCCATAACTCCAGTTCCAGGTGATCTGATGCCCTCTTCTGGCCTCCGTGGGCACTGCACGACACGGGTGTATTTATATACATACAGGCGATACACTCATACACATAAAAAGAAAATATTTTTTAAAATTCCAACTCTGCATTCTGGCAGAAGCCTACAAGCTTTTTAATGACTAGCTGCGTTGACAAAGGCCCTTTAATACTACAAACATCTTTCTATTGCAGTAACAGGAGACCCTGTAACTAACTGTAAGCAAAAGGTTTTATTTGTTGCTTACATTAGGCAACACAGCAGATTTGTTTCTGTTGCATGTGCTAGCACCTCCGGATGGGAGGTCAGAGGATTCATGACTTAATTTTTTGATGACCTGGAATAATCTCAGCTGCTAAATCAGAAAGAGTATAAAAATTAACTGCATCAAGGTTTTAGAAGCGGCATTTATTAATTGAAAATAAATGTAAGTTCTTGTTCGCATAGAGTCCACGCGATTTTTTCAATGAGCTTGAAGCACATGAAAATCCCTTGACTCCTGCCATTTCTGTGTGTGCTTAACCACCACCACATTCAAGTGCACGGGGTACGGGTGTCAAATGGAGAGTATGTGCCAGCATTTTATTAAAAAAGAGAGAAAAAAAATCCCTTCAGCAGTTCTCCATGATTTGAAAAAACTTTTGGAAAGAGAGATAAAAACACACTACAGTGTTTGTAGAACATTTATTACAACTAGTTGGCGATGTGATAAGACAGTGTTCATGTGGCCTGAAAGTTGTTCACAATCACGACAAAGCTTAATCCAGCCCAGCACATACAAGTGAAAAGTATAAACCATGAAGATATGTTCAGATACGTGTATGTATAAAAGTGATGCTGAGCATTTATATAGCTTGAAAAAATATAGGGCCTTCAGTCAACTCTCGCTGTTATAGCAAAGGTATCTTGAATTTTTATAACTAGGCAGTGACATGAAAGGAAAGGAAACTGCAGTCAAGTTTGCAGCACTTCTTCTAATTGGAAGGAAGCTATAGGGAAGTGAAACAAATTTGGCTTTAACTAGCACGCCAGGAGGAACATTCATGCTTTAGATAATGACTTTATATAACACTTCGTGAAAAGAGCAACATGTTCCTGTAAGATTCTATTTTGTAGAATTCCTGGAAATTAATATTCCCACATTTTGAGGGACAGCAAAAAATCCAATTAAGTACATGATTATGACCACTAAAATTTCATTTGGGGAGTAAAATATTCATTGGCCTTAAAAATTATGTGCTCACTATGAGGAACAGTCTTTGCTCCCAATTCATTCAGAATACTTAAGTGATTTTTAGTGTAAAAACAGCATCAATCTAAGTTATTCCTCTAAAATAATCTATATTCCCTTTTTTTAAAAAGTATTTTGTATCCAGTAAGGGTCTTTGGTATAAATTTTGTTGCTTAAATTTTCAATAAATTTTCATTCACTTGATCTGTGACATGTCAACTCCCTTTATTCTTATATAGACTTAAATACTGCTCAAGTCTTTGGTTTCATCAAACCAGGTTTCACATAATTTTAGTCTCCTTTGTCAAGTCCAGTAATAAATATATTTTGCCAATTGTTTGATATGCATGTATATAGATGTGTCATTTTCACATATGCATAATTACGAAAAACTGACCTTTAAACTGGGAAATGTCTAGAAATGGTATGTTACTTTTTCTACAGCTTTCTAATTCATATTTATGTCCCTTAATTTATCAGTTGATAAACCAAAGTTCCCTTTAAAAAAAAAAGTGTGTAGGCCTGAATGAAGCAGCTTAGCAAAACAGTAATACTGACAAGACATCATCTTACACCATTAGCTAACATGAACATGAAGGCAGTGACCATCTACAGTGTGTGAAATGCCACAAGAAGTCATCAAGGGAGGAGAGTTATGTCAGTCCAATTTCTTCGAGAACACTACGTGGGGTTTCAGCTTCCTGTGGAGGGAAAATGTGAGACTGGTGAGTAGATACAGGAAGAGTCTTAAGAATGTGACAAACGAACATGAAGAACATGCTCATTTTTTAAAATAAGGCCATTCAGGGTCACAGGAGCAATCGAGTGACAGCCAGTGGTTGAGTTTTGTGTCTAAACCTCAGAAGGATGTTTTCAGCATTCATTAAATACCTAATTATTAACCAGTGTGCTGGGTATCATTGCTATAATATAAGCAATCAAGCCCATTGTAAACTCACTAGCAATGTATGGAATTATATATAGGAAAGATGAATGATCTTAAGTATTAACATTCAAAACTCCAATATCAAAAGCAGCCCCCTCCTCCCAAATTCATGTTTTCAATGTTTTGTTTTATCGTATGAACCTACAGAGATGCCTTCCTCTTGGAATAGTTCCTTAACTGTCCATTACAGAAGTTTTTTAGAAACAGCCACCTTCCCAGACCTCCCTGGATGACCAGTGGCATTGGTGGAGGTGACATACAGAAGAAACACTACAGGACAAAAGGCTTTTTTGTCTTAACGTAACAATAAATACTAGTTTACAAAAGTCAAAGACAAATCAGCCATATCTAGGAAAAAATTATTTAAAACCTTCTGAAAGTGACTAATTTTTGTGCACTATAAAATTTTTAAAAAAGGACCAAGCCAGGCGTGGTGGCCCACACCTTTAATCTCAGCACTCGGGAGGCAGAGGCAGGCAGATCTCTGTGAGTTCAACGCCAGCCTGGTCCAGGACAGCTTGGGCTACAGGAAGACCATCTCAAAAAGACTGAAAAAAAAAAAACAACAAAAAGGACCAAATAGGCCAACTTTTAGGTATTGCTAGCAATTTTGTAATTAAAAGCAACACTGTATTTTAATGGATGAAAATAATATAAGTTTTTGTTACCCAATAACAAACTTACTTTTGCATCCTAATCACGGTGTAGCACAAAACAAGGAAGAGAAAAAATTATATTAACTCATGATCCTTAAAACATTGTTTAATTGTATGAAAGGCACTACATAATGTAATCTTAAATTACTTAAATTCTACGATCTGTTTCCGTATTTGGAAAACAAAAATAGGAGTACTTACCTTCATGTGTTGAGACTGAGTTTATGGCTCAGTGCCTGACTTAAAGAAGGTGCTTCAAAAAAATATTAGCTGAGAGTTATACAACTGAAATCTAAAAGAAGGGGATTACCATTTAGTGTTAAGTACTAGAACAAGAAAACAGAATGCCTGTTAGTATGCTTGTCTAGTAATGAAAAATGGGTGAAAATCAGCTTTAGTGAAAAAAAGCATTTTTCCAAAATCTAATCTATGAGGTATAACCTGTCGTCCCCCCCTCCCCAATTGAACTTCAGTGTAATCTAAACAATGACGAAGGATAAAGGAACAAAGTATACACGGTCACAAGACTATCATCACCTAAATATAGAATGTGGTAAAGTGTATGGCATTAAATGACCGGTTTGGGTTTTTTTTTTTTTCTCTTTTCTTTTTATTAAGGCAAGGAGTGAAAAAAAACTGAGCTTGCTTTAAGAGACTTAAGACCTATAAATCAGATATAATGTAAATTTTGTTTGGATTCTGGTTCTGGCAAATTATAAATGGGCATACCACCCCCGCCCCAGATAATTAGGACAGGAGTCAGGCACAAGATAGAATTAATTACTGCTAATTTTGTTGGGTGTGGCATTTATCTGTTAGGAATACATACTGAAGCATTAAAGATGAAATGACAGTTTGTCTATATGGCTTGTGCTAAAATACCAGGCAAAAATTGTGCCTGGGAACACTAGTGGATTATTAAACTGATGACCGTTGAAGTTGAATGATATAGAAATGAATGTGCTTTATGCTATCCTCTATTATTGTCTTGAAGTTTGCACAATTGTTTGTTCTTGGAGATAGGGTCTCCCTGTAGCCCCAGCTGGCCTGGAACTTGATATGTAGAGCAGGCTGGCCTTAATCTCATGAACATTCACCTGCCTGTGCCCCCTGAGTGCTGAGATTAAAGGTATATACCACCATGCCAGACCCTGCATGATAGATGACTCTTCCACTTACAAATGTTTGGCTTTCTTTTTATTATTGATTTTTGTTTTTTGAGATAGGGTCTCACTATATAGCCCTGCCTGTACTATGTAGACCAGGCTGCCTTCGAACTCATAGCAATCTGCCTGCCTCTGCCTCCTGAGTGCTAGGATTAAAGGTGTACACCACCATGTCTGGTTGTTTGGTTTTCTTTAAACCATTAAATATACCAAGAGAGTACATCTGATTCACTTAAAGTATTTAGTAAATATTTGAAAGAAATGTTTCCAATTAATATGAAATAATTTTTAAAACTTCATGCAACCTTTAGTATGTTAAAGGATGCCCACATTCAATTCCATGCAGTTTACATTCTCGGCTTATCTAGATAAAAATGGCACACAATTATTCCCTAGAGCCGATCAGATTTTTCCAAGGTCCTCAGGGCCTGTGGTCTAAAAAGAGTCATGTTGCTTTCTGAATATGCATTATTTAAAATATTTGTCTTCTCTAAAAGGCCTAGTTGAATTTACACATTTTATTTCTTTAAGACTGTGTAAGTTGAATGTTGGTGCAAACTGTTTAAAATAGAAAATGTAATTTTTTAAAGTTCACACTGAAACTGTAGCTCAAAATTATTTAGGAAAATGATTAAAATAGAATGGTTGTTACCAGGGCCTTCCTTCAGTGAGAGAGAAGTGGGAAATGATTGGCTGATGGGTTATATAATATCAGTTCTGCAAGATGAAAAAGTTCTAGAGATCTGTTGTACAACAATGTGAATATACTTAACACTACTGTAGACTCATAAATGGTTAAAATGGTGAATGAATTCTATGTTAATTTTTAAACCACAATTTTTAGAAATTACCTGGGAAAATGAAAATATAAAATGTTATTTTATCAAAAGGGATGGAGAAGAAAAAGTCATTCACATGAGACAAAGTACATGCAATACTTTATTTTAGACATGCAAGAAAAGCTATTTGAGAATCTATGAATTTAAAGCAAGCAGCTGTATACAGATAACAAAAGCAACATTGTGTTACAGCTCAGCACACAGCATCCAAAACAAACAGGCATGAGACAATGCGTATTTATGCAACATTAAAATCAGATGAACAACATATTGCAGGGTGGGAGGATGGGAAAAATAAAAATGAAAGACCAATGTTTTCAATGCTTCAAATGCCGTATAATATAGCAAGAATGGTAAGAATGGAGATAACTGTGTGAGTACCTGCCTAACACTAAGCTTGCTTAAGGCACTTTCGTAGATCTTCAGTGGTAATGTAGTTTGAGTGTCTTCTGAAGTTACTGGAGTGTTCTGGTTTATTTTTAACTTCTTCTGTCTTTTGAGACAGGGTGTCCCTAGGTAGCCTAGTAACTTAGCCTCCCAAGTGCTGGGATTACAGGCATGCCACCATGCCCAGCTCTGAAGTTATTGTTTAATGACAACTTAACTCAGGCTTTAAACTCTGTAGATATAAAAATACATTATTTGGTAGTTTTCTTTTTATAATAAAATATGCTACAAGTTTTGTTAAAAGCCTATTTATACGATATTAATATTAAAAGTTTTAGTTTTCTGAAATATACAACCATAACTTTAATGAAGCACTGGGTATTTAAGTGAAGGCTGAATATATTAATTATAAAGCCATTAACTAATAAAGTATGAGCATTTAGGTATTGAAAATGACTATCAGAATTTTCATATCATGTAAATAAACTCAGTATTACAACTTTGAAAGGGCAATTACTGAGCAACAGATACTGCAGGAGACATTTTGTGACATAGCTTTCTGGTCTTAAAGGGACTGTTTGACACAGTACAGATGTGGTTCAATAAATCTTGGCACTACAAAGTTTCTTAAAAATTGAATATTTTAGTCTTAAATATTATATAATAGAAATTTACTTTCTTGTATTATTTCAACATATACTTTTGTATGATCCATTAGAAGACATAAACTCACAGACTGTATGGTAATCATACAGCTTGGTTGTCTACAACAATGGAGAAATAAAGTTCACTAAATATGGCACTGCTAATTTTGACTGAGTTCTTCAGCTCTATTTTCTTTGGTAAACATTTGCGATTGCTAGGTTTTCCCCTTATACTCTTATAAGATTAATTACAGATGACTCACTAATGATAACATATATATGTTTAAGATAGTACTCAAAATATTCACAGGCCATATTTTGTCAAGAAGAAATTAAATCAGTAGTAGACAGGAATAAAATATATATCAACATCACATACAGAGTGAAAATAGGATAGAATTAGGAATGTGAAGAGAAAAAATACAATCATAAAGGTACTAGTTCTAAGATGTTTCTGTTACTATTTTTCAGGATAATTAGTCACCAAGCTGAGGATATTTTCTTTCATAAGTATATCTGTTCTCTATTTCCTCTGTGAAATTCTGCATACTCGATGAGCAGCCATTTAGTACACAGGGACATTAAAATATTCATGACGTGGCTACAAAAGAAATGCATATATTCTTATACAACGTATACAAACTGACAGGATACAATCAGATTTCTAGAACGATTAGTTCACAGTAAAGTTACGTAAAACATCAGTTTTGTGTGCTTTTGTTCTGTGGTTTATGGCTGAACATTTAATGCCTGAAACAATGCCCAGTACAGATGTATTGTTTTCAAGTTTATTGCATATAACAGTTAACAAAATGATGACCTACAAAACTCTAAAGCTTTGGATTTAGTAGAAATCTGAAAAGACTGCCAATTTAAGTCAATGCTAGTTAGCTGAAAATTCAATTAGAATATTCCCTTTCACCAGTGTGTCACATTCATTAAGATAAAGAGGAAAATCTTCCACAACAAGTTATAACTAGTCACCTATATGGTATTTTACATAGCTATATAGGCTTTTAATTGTTGACTTAGCTAAGAGATGTGACTTTGAGACTAAGAATATTAATTTTTTAAAAATCCTTAAAAGAGAGCCTAGGAATTCTCCAAATTTGTTAAATGTCTATGCCTACAAACATATCTAGTATGTTTCTCACATCAATAAGGTGACAAAATAATTTGAGTAGAGTCTTAAATGGTCTTAAATTCAGTGTCCTAAATGAATTTTTAAGTTGGAACTCTAAAAAAGTACACATATAAACTTAAGATGGAGACCTCAAAAAGTATATTCCTATATCTATATAACCTATGAAAAATGAGAAAAGCTAGTTGTATTTCAATCCTCAGATAATTCCTAAAGATCTTCTACAGATAGTTGTCCCTTTTTTCCCCATTCAGAATATAGTGTGATGATCAATCAAGCAATGCTCCATTTCCTTGTAAGAAGCTTTCATTTTCATAGGGAAAGTCTTCATCTGTTCTAGCAGTATTATTCATTCATAGTATTTAAAAATACTTGGTCAGCGGCTCAATCTATTTCAATATTCTGTGTAAGAAGTAAATTATCATCCCAATTGTGGGTGATTATAGAGCATCGATTCAATGAAATAGCAGGGACTATCCCTTGGGATTTAAATGCAATTAACTTTCCAAATAATGGCCAAAATACAAATATTAAACTTGAAGAAATTTTAATTCAAACTGAATTTGCATATCCTACTACATTTTGATGCATGTCAGTACTCCACGTATTCTAGTATGCTTTCTTAAACCCAATGACTCTCTTCTCTGTTTTCTGGGGAGAGAACAAGAAAAGTTTAAGTCTCAAATAACCTTATACTTCAATACTTGTTCTTTGCCTTTATGGTACAGTTCTTAATCCTTATGTTTTCTCAATTCTATATCATATCATATGAAAACCAACCATGATGACGTTTTTGCCCATTCAAAGAGAAAGGTGGCCTTGAACTCAAGAGATCTGCCTGCCTCTGCCTCCCAAGTGTGCT